CCAAATGCAATGAAAGTTTCTTTGTATGAAGGCGCTGATCACCGGCTGTAAGTGCAGCATCAAACATCCAGCAGCAAACATGATGAAAACAAGTCTCTTCACTATCAGATTCCATTGTTTGCTTTAACCGATTTGTTTCCTTAGTGAACTCAGCTTCATTACTTGTGTGGATAACTGCCTGCTCACAATATGACACACAGGAAAGTCTGAACAGTGTTGCCATAAAACAGGAGGATGATGCGATTACTGCTCCTCTCCGCTGGTTTTCCAGACACGGTAGCTCAGGTAGCTGCTTCCTGCATAGCACAGAGTGGTCAGAAATGCAAAGAACTGAGAGGAGTGGAAAGAAAAAGATGAGAATGAACATGGTATAGGAAAAAAATAGAGAAAGAGGGGAAATAATGAGGTAGAAAGAGGTGAAATTGTAATATCTTAAATCAGTCACAGCTGAAAAATGCACTCATTGTCTCATCAGTCACTCAGGTCAAAGCAGGGGTCAAACTTGTCCACAGCTGATGCATTTGTAGCACAAGGTGGACTATTACTAAATTAAAACCTTTTACTGCACAAGAATAACCCTGAACTTTTGTTATCTATTTGTATTCACCGGCAAAGAAAGTTTCAGCTACATTGACAGATCATAGACAAGGACGTTCACCTCACTTGTATAATCGACTTGTATGACTTTAAAAATAACATTTAAAAAAAAGCTTTTGTTAATGTTTTTGTATCATTACCTTATTTCGTGTGATTATGGGAATACAATATTCCACTTAGCCACATAAAATTTAGTTTGACATACTATTTATTCATTTAACTGTGTCTTTACATGTTGTATAACTACAGCATTACAACTGTGGTGGAGATACACTGAGACAATACAAAGTCCAGTCTTCTTATCAGCTGGTGAGAACAGTTACAAAATCTTTTCTGATGGGAGTTTTTAGAAGCTGAACTGAAGACGTCATCATTTGTCAAAAAAACAAGTAGAGACACAATCCAGCTGTATTATGGGAAATGTAGGACCAAATGTTTTTTTTTGGCACGAAAGACTAAAATTTAAGTTCTCTTATAAGTGCAGCGCTTAGTCATCTCTGAAACCCATTATGTGCATATTTGCAGAAGAAACTACACCTTATTTCCAACAAAACCGACATCTTGACCTTGCTTGCAGAAATTCCTGATAACTTTGCATTTGTGACTGAAGTGCTATTACTTCATTTTTTATGTTTTTTTTTTTTTAAACTTATGGAAGCAACCTCCGCTTAAGTTCACATTCATATTGACTGGAGTGTTCTTACTGCTGAAGCTGCCCAGCAGTTGTAGTTGTGTCGCCCCCTAATGGCCTGGTTGACGGAGAGAGCATCTACTGCTGCTGTCACCAGATACAGAGTAGTGGCACTACAGTGGAAACACAGAGACTGCAAGACACAAAGACACAAACAGTGAATTACAGATTAAAACAAAAAACAAAACAACCAATCATTCAAGACATTCTGGTAAAACACAAAGTCAGGAAAACAGTTTTGAGCAAAAGCAGTGAACCAGTGTGTGTGTGTGTGTGTGTGTGTGTGAATTACCAGTGTAGTCCAGGGGACACATGGTATCCTGTTGTGCACTCCAGTGAGGTAAATTATAAACAGACAAACTGTCAGAATCCAGAACGAGATGGCAACAAACATCACCCAGCAGAGAGCAGACAGATGAAAATAATCTGTACCACCAATGAGAATCCACACTAACATACCAAAAACCTGGAGGAGGAGAGGAGAGGAAGGTCAGTGCTCCCATCAATCACTGTATCTTTTTAAAGTGATGAAATTCAGACAGATATGAGTTTGAGGTAGTCATTGGAGAACTTTGCCCCCACAAAAAGTTAAATAAAACCATTCATTCATCCATTATTTATACACCGCTTAATCCTCACTAGGGTCGAAGGGGGCTGGAGCCTATCCCAGTCTATCACAGGGCTACACTTAGAGACAGACAACCAAGCACACTCACATTCACACCTACGGACAATTTAGATTCACCAATTAACCTCAACATGTTTTTGGACTGTGGGAGGAAGCCGGAGAACCCAGATAGAACCCACGCTGCACGGGGAGAACATGCAAACTCCACGCAGAAAGATCCTGGGTGTCCTCACCGGGATGTGAACCGGCAACTTTCTTGCTGCGAGGCAACGGTGCTAACCACCGAACCACCTCAATCAAACCAAACAAAACATAATGTTTCATGTCACTTGCTCCATCTCGACTGAATTAAACTGTTGTGGGTGTGAGCAACTAAATCTCTTTCCTCCCAACACTATTCCAAACCCCACCCTTCCTTTTCCACAACAAAAGATTGCTGCTGATGTTTCATATCACAGGAAGAAAATGTTTTCTGGTGTGAAGCGTGACTGTGAGCTGCGTTGGTTTCTTTTCCAGTAAAATCACTGGAGTTACTAAAGTGCTTCGTTGTACCTGTCTCTTTCATTTAACCCAAAGGTTAGCATCTGCTGGAACAGGTAGCAATTTTAAGGCCTATTTCTTACTCTTTTATCAGCATCTAATGCATCTTTCTCAATATGTCGTATGTTCGTCCAGATTTGTTGTATAATTTGTAATCAAATGCTGCTTTAGAAAGTGACATTATACTTTTAAAAAAAACTTGTTGAAGTGGTTTTAGATCAGATTACTTCAGCTGTGGCCTGCTCGGCCTCTGCATGGCAGCCAGCCAGCCTGTATTTACAGAAAGGCTGCCCGAACTTTTTTCTTTCAGCTGATTTGGAAGGAAGAGAGACAATGAGGGAGAGAAAAGAGGAAGAGTTGATTTGCTTGGTGTTTTTTGGTTAACTTCCTATTTTCATAGAAACATAGCTCTTCGTTTTGCCTCCGGCTCCATTCAACACAGAAAATCCCACAAAAAACAGTTTTTGTGAATTTGACATTTTATGATAAAAGAGTAATTAAAGCCACTGCTTTTCAAACTCAAAATCAGTCTTTATATGTATCCAAACAGGAGTTTCCTGCAGATTAGAAACAACTCAAACACTGATTAGTCTATCTTTGTGTGTTTCACATCATCTGATAAGCACATGTCCATTTTAGACTTGACTGCAAAGTGTGTTTCTTCTCCATTAATGTCTCTTGTAAACATCAAAATTACCACTTCATCCTGACACGATTACTGAAGGGTTCTGGTAGTAGATTCTTGTCAACAGATTAATTTCAGAACTAGTGAGCGTTCGTAAGGATGCAGTCTTCAAACATGTTAAAGTGAAAAGTCACACTTACTATCTCAGCCATGAGGAAAATTCCTTGGGCGGTCGTGGTAAAATGCTGGTCGAAGGCCAAGGTGGAGGTTGAGATGTTGTACTCTGGTACAGAGGGAGTCCTGCGGGCCGACGCCACAGCAGATCTCTCCATGATGCACTGACGCAGGGAGCATGAGGGCTTCCAGTGTCGCTGCAGCAGAGGAAGTTGTTTTCCTGTCCGGGAATCCAGCAAGGACACTCATCTATTTTAGTGTTTCATTTGCTTTTAATTAAAAAAAATAACTTGATTTTCACACTGGTACTGAATAAAATAGTTCTGTCATTGTTTTTTCTTTTGTTGTGTGGTCAATAATAAATGCTGTATGATGTTACATTACATGCAGAGGTGAAAATAAATAGAAAGGAAATGCTAGATGACAGTCCCCCTCAGAGATATTCTTAGTTTGAGCAGAGGAACCCCGCTTCAAGACACTGATAACGACAGTTCTGCTGCTGATGATAAATGAAGCAGAAGAAAACGTGACGTCTGACCAACATGTTTTAGCCCTTTAACTGCAATTATTGATTATTTCGGTTGATACGCTACATTTCAGGCTGTCACTGTTTTCAGCAGGCCTGTGAAAATCAATTTGCAGAGATTCAGTCTTGCTCGAATTAATCCACCACAATAAACAATTTATCTTCTATGGTGCATTTAAGGAGACTTCGATAGTGAAGAATTGACAAACGCTGCTTAGAAAAAATGGCAAGATTAGAAGAAAAAAAAAAGATGGAAATTTTATGGTTTAAAGATGAATGTGAATTTGTTCTTTATTCTATTAAAAAAGCAGAGAAGGCAGACTGCTCCAAATGTTTAGATGAAGCATCATTGAAAATGGATATAACTGAAAGAAACCAGTGAAGATCAGTTAAGAGTTCCCCTCCATTGGCTTAAATGTCCTAAAAGTCTATTCTCGCTGTGTATACTGGAGGATTTAAATGTTCGTTGCGCTTCTATAAGGTGCAACGTGGATCACAACTAGCTTCAAACTCAATGTGATATAATAAAATGTGCACAGTATGTATAAATGTTGAACTCAGATTTACATGAGCGCAGAGAGACTTCACACCGCCAGCAGATAAATGTAAAAAACAGGCTTCTAGTGTCAAACTTCTGCACTGTGGAGCTCAAACATTCAAGTGAATGAGCATGTTTTTTATAGTCCATTTTACTAAGACCTTGTATTTATTAATTTCTAGTCACTAAGAGAGAAGCATGTTATAACAGTGTCCCCCTGCTGCAGTGCAGTAACAGAAGCAGTGACTGGCTTCGGCCACAGGGGGGCAGTAGCTCCACATGGAGACAGTACACCTCACTGGAGAGGCAACAGCAGAGCAAAGGGACAAAAGACACGAGGTGGAGGCCAAAAACAAGACTCACTGGGCTGGTTAATTGTCTGCATGGTGAGTGTGTAAATTGCTGTTTTCCCTCATTTGTTCTTTTTTGTTATTGTTTGGACAAAGCAACACTAATTCATTACCTGAGTTGTTCCTCTCCACACTAGCAGGCGTGCTGGAGGCCTCCCTGCATTCAGGTAGAAACTTTGACAACTGAATGATTTCAGCTGTTAGGAAAATTGAGTGGAAATGTGCAATGTGTGTGGTGATGGAAGGATTTTACTTTAGACCAGATTAGAAAATAAATATACGTACAAAGGCAGACGCTGATTACCAAATAGAAAGGGATTATGTGTTCCTTGGCTCTGGCAGCAGTTTCACCGGGAGGCAGTTCTAGTCTAACTGCGGTACAAGCGATTGGAATAACCAGGTGGCTATAAATAGACTAAAATTATTATAAAATCTATGAAAATCTTGAAAAAAATCCAAAAAAAAGAGAGATTTATTGGGATGGATCTCAACCTCTCTCTCCCAAGCATCAGATGCAAACAAATGCAGGATGCTTTGTGGTGTTCTGCAGCAGTCGATATCCTGGACTGTGCCTTATCTGACTGGATATTTTACATGCTTTATCTTATGCTACTTGATAGACTAATTCTGTCCTGCTGGGCACATTCTGCTCCGCACAGCAATATATCCACTGCAGCAATCTATACTCTGCATTACTCTCTCTCTCTCTCTCTCTCTCTCTCTCTCTCTCTCTCTCTCTCTCTCTCTCTCAACCATTCACTGAGGCAGTAGGCCAGCTTTTCTTGTCTTCCGAGAGCGACTCAGTGACTACATGTAGCCAATACATTAACAAAACTAATAGCCAACCAAGCACTTCTAGGACTGACAGCTGTCTGAACCCAGAGACATCCATCTTTCTTTGAGCCCAATAGATTTTCCATGTGAGCTGTTTTAAAGCTAATTATCACAGCAGAACTGGGGTCATTTCACTTTTGGTCTATTAATTAAAAATGGAAATACAATCTCAGTGTCATTTACTAATGTCAGTGCAAGAGTAATTATTTCTTGACAGATTGAAGGTGTGGAATAATGTGGTGCAGGATCACAAGGCTTGATCTCTGATTTTCACTATCATGTGGTTTTAAGTCTGTCTTCGATGTATAGTGTGCTGTTTTGGTCTGACATCAATACTTTGCACTTTATCACTTAAAACACACATAATGGAAGTTTTACAGCTTAGGTGTGCTTTACGAATTGTGCTGCCAGCACAGTATCTGGACTGAATGTATTAATAATGAAAGCTGCTGTCATTGTACTCACATTAGAGTCGACTCTCTCCTCAGCCTCACGCATGGGAAAACCGTGATTGATGACATCGTCAATTGCAGTTGCTCTAAAGTTATCTGAGAGCTTTCATTCTCATTGAATACCTTTCCAACTGCCACTACTTCCCCTTCTTCTCATTGCTGTCCTGCTCCACCTATAACTCTTCATCTGGTGGCCTTTACTTATCCTCACTAGCATTTATAGCAACACGTTGAGGGCCCGGTTTGCTGTAATTCTCCAGCTACTCAGTAAAATAAACTGGCATTACGGACTGGCCACATAAATGGTGAAAAGGTGATGGGAATTTTGTAAAATGATCTTTAAAAAAAAAAATCATATTATTTCATTACGAGCATGCACAGTGGAGGAAACTCCACCTGTGAGCTGGAGACCAACCTCCCAGCATATACCAGCATTAAGGATAGATCATACCTGTGGGTATCTGATAGGCAGCCATCATGTTCTTGTATAGCTGTAATCATAATTAGTAGCAATGGAGCAGGCTTTTCTGCTCATCAATAACCCCGTGCCTCCTGTAGTAGCCTCTCTTAGATTCCCAAAAGTAATTAAAATGAAGCTCAGTCAATTGTCTCTGTGGCTCAATTAAAATTGGGTTTCTCCTTTAATTCCCTGAAATAACACAAAGGCTTAGAAGCACACAGGTGATTAATGGTTATTTCCTTTTGTAGTGTTTTTCTGTGTGTGTGTGTGTGTGTGTGTGTGTGTGTGTGTGTGTGTGTGTGTGTGTGTCTGAGACTGCACACATTCTTATTGCCTTGGACTTATACCAGATTTTACATCATTTAATTAATGGCGAGGACAACAATGGAGATGGAGAAAGCCCATCCATGTTATTGTCAATCACAGATTTTAAGTCCACTTTAGCTTAATATGATCCTTGTAGGAAGTTTTAAAAAAAGAAAAACAAACAAACAAAAAAATCACATAAATGCAATGATATAAGTAGACCGTGAACAACAAAATACTACTTTGACTTTTTGAAAGAAAATGCTAATTTGTTAGAGTAACTCTGCAGAAATTTTACCTACGCCACAGTGTTTCACTTTCCCTGTTCATTTGATTGATTTGAATGAAATTAAAGTTAAAACCCGCTCTACCAGTGACTCACAATCAGAACAGTTAATCTGCCAAGTAATCAGAATCTCAGAGTGGTTTAATTGAAAATGAGAAAATAAAATGAGCAGAATTAGTTTTCCACTGACTCCAGAGGAAATTATGCAACAGACTAAAGATGTGCAGAGGTGTACCTTCTGTTGTTGTGGTTGTACCTTTTTTTCTGAGAGTGTAAAGTTAAAAAAAAAAAACTTAAAATAAAAAATGAGAGAGAAAACAAGGTATCACATCACTGCTGGAAATGATAGAGCTTTTATTTATTTAGTTTTTTTTTTTTGTCTCCCCCTACCCTCCCTTCCTTACAGTGGCTTCTCCATTCTCACCATTGTCTTCATTGCTTCGCCATATTTACACATCTCTGCTTCCCTCTAATTCTCCCCCAGCCCTGTCATCTCCTGCATGGTGTGTGTTTAGATTCTGCTGCTGTGACACAAAGCCTCACCATTGTTGTACACGAGCTGCACCGTTTACCGAAACTCTACATGCTAAGATGTGAATAACCTGAACTCCGCCTGAACCTCCCCATCCCCTCTACATGCATGCACACACACACACACACACACACACACACACACACACACACACACTAATAAATGTGCACTAGCCCAGATGCTGCACTGTAATTGGCCACTGTGGCTTCCCACTGTGGCAAAGATATTTTTAAAGACACACACACTAATCCTTGCCTCTGCAACATCTGCCACATCCCCCCCAACACATGTGCTGGTTAAATGTGCACTCTAACACACACACACGCACACACACACATACATAAACACACATCATGCACGCACTCAGGGTTACCATGAAGGCAGCCCCTCCCTGTTTAACCACCGGTCCTGACATCAGTTCTAAATAAAATGATGTGGTTATTCACCGAATGGCACAACCCCGCCCTCTGAGACTGAAACTGCTGCTTTATTCAACTTCAGCAGTGTTTCCCTTGGACTGTTTTCTTGGCTTTGCGGAAAGGCCTCTGGAGCAGTAAACATTTCTGATAAAACTTGAAGTGAATGAACCAGATTCTTGTCATGTATCGCCACGACAAACGTTCTTTTCTGTGCTTCTCACTTACCTGTCTTTACTCTTCTCTAACCTAATCTTCTGTCACAAACTTTTTTTCACCGGTTTCTCTTCCACACCAAGCATCGCTAACATTATCAGCTTCAAAAAGACGTGATTTCCCCCGACGGTCCCACCCCCAGTTTTCATTTTCTGTTTACCACGAGTGTTGCTGTCCGTGTGCGTTTGGCTTAACTAAAACGTGCTTTGACAGTAATTCTTCAATAAATAATTGCGACGTGATG